CAACTGACCTAGGAGTGTCCAGTGATATGCATTTTCTATATTAGTTTGATATCATTAACCATCCTCTGTTTACTTGTTCTTTTCACACCGATCATTACCCTCTTTTGTTTTTATCCCTAACCACCATTATCTTTTACATTGATCATTACGTTTCTTGTTTTGTTTTTCATTTTATGTTGGTGGATCCTTTAAAATATCCATATGATATATTTGTATGCTCATACAGTAACTACAAAACCCAAAACAAATATATTATAAAGGTTAGGTTATATAATTTAACTTAAATTATAACTGTGATTATTTAAGTAACATTGTTATTATAATAAAATTAAATTGTAGTGGTTAGAGATTAATCCAACATGTAGTGGTTTAGATTGATTAAAATTCTAGCTATCAACAAAATGAATAAGTGTTGTCACTAATTAAATAGAATAATAGAAGATTAATCATAGGGTATAATACTATTCTTAATATTTAACTGTGTATGTAGCAGAAACATTTAATAACCGAAATCAAGACGTTTGAGTTTTTGAGCATGCTCAACGGTTTGATACTCTTCAAGTATCTTATATATGATTTACAGTAATGAAAATACAAATGAAAAAAGACATAGATTTACTGATAAGTTAGAACATCGACGGAGGTAACACTATATTGGATCCATAGCTACATAAGGACAGATTAAAATATCACATAAAAAAACAATACGAAAACATATACTATTTGTGGTGGGTTGGAACTTTGTTAGATACTCTTAGATGCATCAAAAAGTCTTAGGTAGCATGGAAGCTTTTCCCGCATTGCGCTTAGATGCATCAAAAACTATTTTATCGGAGGTCCATTTTCCACTTTGTAATCGGACCAGTAACTTTTGGAAGTTTGTTTCCATGTTGCTTCCGAAAATCCCTTTTTAAATCACGTTGAAAACTTATGATTTTGTTTTGGAAGCTTGCGCTTCTGTTTTTAAACTATTGTGGCGCCGTAAATAAATATGAAAATTAAAAATATTTTTTATAGGTCTCTCATTATAAAAACAAAATAAAACCAAAAACTAATTTAGTACTTTGACATTTGTGCACACTAATTTTTGTTTTTATCTATAAATTGATTTTTCTTGCTTAGAAATAGTGGTTTAATCATTCGTGTGATGTTAGAACTAATTTATTTGATTAATTGAATGAGATTATTTTGAAAGATTTGAGTTTGGTGATTACAACATAGAATTCGAAACAAAATTATTTGATGGAATTGAGAATGAAGATGGT